CATGGCAGATCATTTCATTTAAAAAGCATTAGCAAAGAACTCTCTCTGAAAATCCAGAAAAGGCAGAATACTCGTTCACCTCTTGTGTCTTCCTGTTGAATAGCTTCAGACCGTCTACCTTTACCATCTGAAGCTGGACTTCAGCATTCCTGCAGTGAACCATGAAGGTCACTGCAATGGGAGCACTTATCAAGGCAGGCTTCCAAACAGACACGACCTTGAGAATCACCGTCCATGGCAGAATAGATACTGCTCTGTAGTCTGTATAGATTTGAAGGAGTCAATTTTTATATTAGGAAATCTTGTTTCAGTAGATTTACCCTAAAAATAATCTCCCAACAGTAACTTAAATACAAGCTCTCCATGTTTGTAGCAGCAGTGATGTAAAGCAAGCCCAACACTCCAAAAGATTTATACTTGTATAAATAACAATAGTCTACACTTCTTAGAAAACAAACCTGGCACCAGACACTAAACTATTGTTCTAAACTACTGACTTGCAGTTAGTGAATGCAGTATTATTCAGTGTCATTCCTTCAGGTTAAGTCACAGGGTTCTCAATATTCCAGTGCTGCTGTACCCTTCCCAAACACCAGCATGAAGGACCCTTGAACAGTATACTAGAAACGGTTAGGGACAACAGATGTATGGTCCTTGTAAAGCCTGTCATTATGGGCCTCTGCTGGGGAGGACGATAGTTAATAATATCAAGAAAGATTTCACCCTTTTCAACTTTTCTGAAATATCTTTCTTCAACTTTTCCTTTGCAGAGACTTGGAACAAAAACTGACCAGACAGGAATTTGTGTCCCATGAGACTGGTTTCCAGTTCTGCAGATGAGACAGCAAGAGAGTAAAAGCTCACACAGTTTTTCCACACAACACCAATCTGTTAAGTAGAAACAACTTGCTAACTATTTTTTGTTCCAGCCCCATGTCTCTCTGGAGCTACTATTTAATTTTAGCTCATTTATGGGACCTAAATACATTAGCATACACGTTGAAGCTTAGCAAGGTGGAAGTAAAAATAAACAACAAAAAAACCCAACAAAACACACCATAGGAAGTGTAACCCTAACTGAGCTTTGTCATGCTGACAGAAAATAAGGTGACCAACCAGAAAACACGGGAGGTGCAACAGCTTCAAAAGCATGTAATTACCAATGCTCAGAGCAGGGGTCAGAGCCAGCTTGATTAAGTAATGCATCTCTTGGCTGGTTATATCCTTATATGGAAGGGGATAACTTCGTATTTGCAAGATACATTTATTTTCCCTGGAATCAGTTAATTTAGTGTTAACAGTATCCAGCTACTTTACACAAAGTGATTTTATTAGACTGTTAAAATAACAGAGGAAGAGTTGTGTCCAAGGCAGCATTCCCTCAGTTACTAACCTTTGTTGATACTGAGGTTCCAAAATACAGACTCCCTGAACACACTTTGGAAACTTATTTCTGAGTTAGGTAAAGTTCCTCTGTAGCTGCCTAGCCATTTGCTAATGATCTACAGAGTACAATAAATCTTTAAATTAATAACAAAACCCAAAACTTGTTTTCTTTCCTTGCCAATCTATTCAGAACACATATATTTCTCGCTGCTGTCCTATTTGGCTTATGTGTCTCATCTGCATCTCACTGCTCTTTATTCACTTATTTCCTCATGCATTCAATAGTTTTGGTAAAGTTCTCTCTGTCTAAAGTGACATGCCATTTCTCCAAAGTAGCTTCAGTTCCCAGACCATATCTGGCCCAGACTTCCGAGCAGGTCAGCAATGAGAACAGTAAAACACCAAGCTGGAGAGAAGCGATGTAATTCTGTGCTGCACAACCATCCTTTCCTCTGATGCATCACCACAGCAGTACAAAGCTAGCAGTCATTTCCACCAGTCATACCTTCCACAAGCCCATTCCTGCCAGCTTTCATCTCGCACAGAAGAGGAGCAGCTGCTGAAATGTAACAAATTATGCCAAAAGGCGCAGTGTCCTAGCATTCAAGAAGTTTGGCACTGCTGCCACCTTTACTGCTTATGACTTTGATAAGCCACACCAGAGGCACAGAGCAGTACCACCAAAGCAACACCTAACTTAAGCGAGGGTTAACTTTTCCAACTCGTTTCCTCTACCAAGGGAAAGGTGTTTTAGCCCAACATCCCAGTAAGACACAGGAAGTAGCTTCCCCTGTATCTTTAACCTGGGACATTTAAAAAGCAAACAAGAAAAAAAAAACAAACAAAAAACAACCCAGCTTTAACTCCCTCCCCAACCCATCTATTTAAAAAGAAACAGGTTAGAAAGCTAAATGATATACACAAAGAACAGAAAACCAAAAAAAAGTGAGGATTGCCTTATTCTGAGTGAACAGCTGTGCTCACATTCATGAATCTTAGTATTCTTTAAAATGAGTACTCATTTTTCACAAGCTTACCTGTTACCTGTGTGACCTCAGGTATTGCTCCCTGCATCCTATTCATACCCAATCCTGGAATCAGAATTCTTTTTTTTCCTTCAGCACATATTTACATGCTAGTTAATCATTAACTTACTTTCCACTACTATCCTCATTTTACCTTGCAAGAATTGCTGCAGAGAGAATACATCGGTTTTTAGTGCTCAAAGCCTGATTTTGCAAAGTATGTGACATGACAGCACATTTCATGTGGTCAAGGCACAGTACCTGCTCAGCTGCACATCAGACATTTCACAGATCACGTCCAAGGACATAAACAGAGCAGGAAATACAACAGTGAAGTCTGGTAGAAGCTTGTCCCATCACACAAATTAAACCAGTTCTTAAAGACAGCACTTAGCTACCTTAATTATGAATGAGAAAACTCCCACAGTTCTACATTGCCATCCAGTTTTTGCCAGCATTGGAGCTCAGGATCTAAACTCTAATTTAGTCAGAAGAGTTCAGTTCAGGGTAACAGAAGAAAACCTAGTCTTATGGGGAAGAATAGCATGGAATCATTAAAGTAAAAACAGTATTGAAAACATTTATACAAAGGAAGTGAAGCAAGATTGCACAGCAATCTCTATGCTGGACCAACATGCACTTAACTCAGAGGTATTGTTTGAAGGATGGAGAAAAGTTCTGAGTTTTGTGGGGTTTTTTTTCCCTTCTTTTACAAGGAGGAAAGAACTAAAATGAAAACAAATTCCACTGTGCAGCATCATATTTACACCTCCAGAGATAGCAGCAATGAGTGCTAAACCGCATGGCTCCACTACAGAGATTTCTGAAGTGCCTGAGCCACAATATGCTTCACCTGCTCCACAGGTTGCAGCTGAAGGAAATGAAGTAGATGCTTTACCAGTGAATCTCTGCACTCTGCCTCTGAACTTGAGCCACTTTGCCCGTAGCTACCTTTAACACTGCACTGCTGTACAAAATAGGATGACACATGACAGTGGTTGCAAAGGTCTAGGTAATGGAAACTGGCTATGTGCCATCAGAGAACAACTTTTTTATTTTATATGAAGTCAAATGCAAATCATTCTCAGATGATACACAATGTTACCATTTCCAGATACATAAATACTGGAAACACCTCCAAAATAAAAAAAATAAAACCAAAGCAACAACAAAAAGCAACCCACCACTCTCTCTTGCTTCAACTTCTCAGAATAAAACAGCCATTTAATAGGTAATTTTACACAACTGAGAGAAATCTAGCAGTACTGACAATTTCTTCAAAGCTCTCACAGAAATAACTTCCCCACATGTAACCTGTGAGAGCAGACTTACCAAGCTTGAGAAATTCACAAGAAAATCAAGACAGGAGGTGGCTATCATAAGTAAATGTTTGAATTTATTCCCTGAAGCTGGCATCAGATCATGTGAGGTAATGTCATGACACCACCACCAACAAAAACGTACCCAGCCTTTCACTTCAACAGCAAACAACTTTGGGACTGTTTGCCTCTTGAGCTCTTCCCTTCGCACTGCTAGCCTGCCTTTATAGGGAAAATGGGGGCACATAAAAGCACATCATCTTCCACGGCTGCTTCTCTAGTGTGGAGAACAGAGGTAATAAAATTAGCACCAACCTTAAAAACATTTACATTATTTGAGACAGTGCAATGTGATAACCTTCAGAAAGTTACGAACTACGTTAGGAATATGTCCTTCAGTAAATAATTCCATTAGTTGTTCAATCTCAGTTTTACAAGTTTATGCCCAACTTAATCCTGGATTTGCCTACCCACAAACCGAGGAGGCTTGTGCCCATGCTGTTCCCTTCTTGCTCACGAAAAAATACTTCATAAAGCATAGAAAAGATAGCCCTACTTTCATGACCACGTATTAACAGCTGCGCTGAAGACAAAGGTCCAGACACACAGGGTCCTGCGGCAAGTAGCAAGCATTCCCCGAAAAAGAGAGCAGCCTAAGTAGAGACTATCCTTCAACGGTGTTAACCGCCTGCTTTACAACAACTAATAGCTTCAGGCCATCCCGAACTGGAAACTACACCCAGACCACTGTACTAAAAAGCCGCTATGCCTCTCAGAACGTTGTCAAAACAATTTCAGACAATTTATAGCCTCGCTCTCCACACCACCACCTCGTACTGGTGTTCACGTCTTAAACGCGTGCGATGCGAAAAGTACTTACTCGCCCTCCACCCTCTGTATTACCTGGTAGTTCCATCCAGCCACCGCTCCCCACAACCGCGGCTCAGCCCATCTGTCCCGGCCACACTCCCCGAAGCACCCCGTCAGCAGCGCCGCTCCCCACAGCCCCCGGCGCGGACCGTAGCTCCCCGACATACCCTGTCAGCACGGGCACCGACGACAGGACGGGTCACCACCGGCACACAACACACCGGCGCCCCAAACCCCGGGGGCCCGCCCGGCACCTGCCACCGGGCCCTGAGGGGAGCAACCGCTGTCCCCAACCGGGGAGAGCCAGCGACCGCTCGACCTCGACCTCGACCCCACCTCACCTCACCTCCGCGTTGTTGCCCACCCCTCAGCGGCCCCGCAGGCGCCGCACCACACCTACCCGCCAAGACAGCGCCCCGTCCCATGCCGAAGCCTCTGCTCCCGCCGGCGGTCACGCTCTCACCACCCGCCCCGTCCAGCCCCTTCCGCGCAGCTGGGGGGGACCCCGCCCCAGAGGCGCGGCGGGAGAGCCGCGGGCGCTCAGGTCGAGGCCGGGCTATGAGGGGGCGGCGGCGGAATGACGCTGCCCGCGCGGAGGGGAGAGGAGAAGGAGGAGGCGGGAGAACGCCGCTCCCCCCGCGCGCGTGCATGCGCCTTGCTCCGCCCCTCCTTCTCCCCACAGCCGCCGGGTGTGAGGAGGGGAGCGCGATGGGGGCCCCTCGCCTGAGTGCTTGTACCACGACGCCGGCCGGCCGGGCGGGCCCCCGGTGTACCGGGACGTAGCGTCCTCGGGCGGTGGCTTGTGTTGTGTCTCGGCCACTCGGGAAATCCGGCAATACACCGTTGCTTCATCTGTTGGCTTCATCGGGTTTTCAGCCTCCTTTGGCTGGAGGCCATTAGTAGTGTCCGCCAGCAAAGCAGCGTGATGAGTGCCTCCGAGAAAAGGTAAAAATTAGAAAAATTAAACAAAAAAGCCAGAATGCAATTGGAAGGGCCTCAGTGGCGAGGCCCCAAGTGGTGCTTGTGTTGACTCTGTTTTGCTACGCTGCAGGTCGTGGTTTCACGTTGCAACTCCCAGTACTGCAGGAGGAGGTGCCCAGCGATACCGGAACACAGCTGCAGGTAAGCCTTGTGATGTTTAAGCCAACCTCATGGGCTCTTGCTTAGTTGCAGCAGCCTCTTTCTTCAGTCGCACACATACACACCAACGTGCTACCCCATGCTGCCTCGCAGCTTACAGGGACACCTCAAAATCCCAGCTGGAACGCAACAGGTATGTCTCCTGTGCCTCCATTTTATATTCCTCTTCTTCACCAACACGTACACTACTGCCTCCTAGCACTTCTCTGTCATACGTTCCTTCTCAGCCACGCTATCCCTCCCCAGAAGTCTGAAACAGATGTCTCCTTTTTGCTATTCCTCTTCATTTTAGTATCTCCTAAATGTGCTGGAAATCTGTTAATATCTTCTGAAAGCGCTACAAAGCACTTGGGAAGAAAATCTCCAAGAACACCTTTCATTCTGTTCTGGGATATGAGGGAAGCAATCTTGTCATCCACAGCCCCTTAGGATGCCTTTCATTCTTCCTCTTTTCTCTGGAGAGGAAATCTTAATTACTTCCATGTCATTAAATTACCATAGTTAACTCAGGAAAAAATCATTACTTGTCAGGCCAAAAAGGCAAATACCTCCCATCCAAACCATCCACTGATCTGCTGGGACTCTTCCCTCTTGGCCTCAGTTCCTTCACCTGTTGCGCAGGACAGGGTGTGCATTTGGTCATAGCCAAGAAGTGCAGGTCCTCTGCTGTAGGACTGGACATGCAAAGATAAAGAGACATGCATGAGCAGTTCAGGGCAAGGGACTATGACTGCAAAGCCCAATCCATAGCCAGACATGGAGTGGAAGAGCACTGCGCTTCAGTCACAGGGGTGAAGGACCTTCACATTCTTGAAGGACTGGACAAAATTACAGTAACATAGTTAAACATTAACTTGCTGCTACTTACCCTGTAAATAGTAGCATGGCTGCTTCCCTTTGTGGTCTGACTGCTGTGGAAAGTTCAGGGCGCTTTTGCTCAGTGAACACCCAGAGCTAAATTAGGGATGTTGAGATGCATAATGAATAGTGGACAAATATTAGAAAAAGCCAGCCAAACAAACAACCCTTACAGACTTCACTGTGTACCAATTGCTTAGGATAAGTGGCACATGGAGTATGAGAATCCAGGAATTAAAATTGCAGTATCATCTTACCTTGATTGACTGGGGATGAAGTTGGGTAGGCAGGAGAAGCATCTGCTCCCTGAGATAGTGTACCTTGGGGAGGGTGATGATTTCCAGAGACTCGTGGACCTTTTCTGTCTTTCACCCACTCCCTTTCAGCAAGTCTGAGATGTGGTAAATTCGAGGGGCTGCAGCTCTCCCCCAGAGAATGTGGAAAACGTTCCCAGCAGATGTATGGAGCTGACCAAATTCTCACAGCACATCCAGGAGGGTGTCAGCAAAATTAGTGAAAGAGTTCCATGCACTCAGGACTGCTCCTGTGTGTGCTTTTACCCTGGAGACTCTGGGAGTTTAAAAGCCAGAGGAACTTTCCCCTTCACTTCATCTGGGCTTGGATGAGAGCCCCAAAGAACACACAGTAACCTGAGATTGTGAAATTATGACATGTATCAGAGAACACTCATATTTTCTTAGTATCAAAAGGGGGATCATTATGTAATACTTGCTATGGTAGGGGAATAGGAATGTTTGCTTGGTTTCATGATAACAGGGTAAGCAGTAGCAAGTTCATGCTTAATTATGTTCTTGTAATTTTGCTCCATCCCTCAAGACTGCTTCAGAAAACCCCAAACCAGCAAACCCGAACACTGGAAAGTATCTGGAGTGGGTTTATTTTGTGACACAGAGGTACCACCCTACGATCCAGTTCACTGCCCTTCAAACCAAGGAAACCGCTGCTTTCCAAATGAGGGAGCTTGACATTCTGTGAGTAAAACAGGAGATGCCCAATTTTTTTGCCCTGCCTTGTGCCCCATTGCCCTGGTAAAGGTATTGACTGCTCCTGTCCTATGTTAGGAAGTTACAAGAAGCCAGTGCTTGAATATGCTAAAAATATGCTTGCCTAATGCTGAAGTGGCAGGACAAGCACACTGAAGGAATGCCATGTCCTTTGCAAGCCCAACGCCTGCCTTTTATTGGCACAAATGCCTTCCAAAAGCATGCAGAGCTACTGCTTGCTCTGTTGCTGCTCCACCAACATCTTTGCTCCTTGTTCTTGTGCCATGCAATGAGAACCAAGTGAAGCCTTGCAGCTTCCCTGCTAAGCTGGCAGGTAGTGTGGGCTGCACTCACCGGCTCTGCCTGCGGAGAGAGCTGCGTGGTGGCTTGCGAGCTAAGCAGCGTTCCCTCTGCAGGGCCTCCTGCCCCGTTGCAGAAGGCATCGCAGGTTCGTGAAGCTCGGTTGTGTGTACTAGATGGGCCTTTCTGACCGATTACGGTTCGTTGTGCCGGGGCAGTTCCCCCCTCCCGTTTGTGCAGGTCCCACTTGTCAGCGGTGTGACTCTTCCCCGCCGCTGCTGGGGAGAGACGGGGAGCGCAGCGCTACATTCCCTAGGCCAGCCTGACAGCCGGGGAGCTTGGAGCGGCCTTGGCAGGCCCGGGCACCCGAGGCCGCGGCGGCTACACGGGCTGACGGGGACCTGTCGCACCCGCCGAGCTCCGCCACGGTACCGGCACCGGGGAGGGTGGTGGTGAGTGACGAAGTTGGTGACGAAATGGTGACGCGGTAGGCGCGCGCGGCGCTTGCGCGGTGGCGGGGCGGCGGCGATGAAGGTGGCGGTCGCAGGGTGCTGCCATGGCGCCCTGGACAAGATGTACGAGACACTGGAGCTGCTGCAGCGGCGGCACAACGTGCGGCCCGACCTCCTGCTCTGCTGCGGCGACTTCCAGGCCGTGCGCAACGAGGCCGACCTGCACTGCATGGCCGTGCCCGCCAAGTACCGCCATATGCAGACCTTCTACCGGTGAGCGCCGCCCGGCCCGGCCTCGTCCCACCGGGGCCCGGCCCGGCCCACCCTGCTACAGCATCTGTCGTTTCTCCTCAGGTACTACTCCGGCGAGAAGAAGGCCCCGGTCCTCACGGTGTTCATTGGTGGGAACCACGAGGCATCCAACCACTTACAGGAGCTGCCCTACGGCGGGTGGGTGGCGCCCAACATCTACTACCTCGGTAGGGTTTCCCAGAGGCGTTCCCCCCCCCCCCCCCCAGCCCTTTGCCTTGCCCCAGCTCCGCCGTGACAAGCCGCGCTCCCGTCTCTCCTAGGTTACGCGGGTGTTGTGAGGTATCGCGGAGTGAGGATTGGCGGCATCTCTGGCATCTTCAAGTCACACGACTACCGGAAAGGTATGGCTGGACAGAGCAGGCCTGGCTGAGTGGGTAGCGGGGAGGGAAATATTAGGCCCAAGCTGTTATGTGTGGGTCTGTCTGTGCCTCCTCTCTTCTAGACTGATTCTTATGCTGGAAGCCTTTCTTGGCTCAACACACAGATTTTTCTGGAGGTGGTAGATGAGTCGGTAGCTGCGTGGTGACACAGCAGGAAGCAATGCGCCTTTTAAATGTTGTTGTTGGAATAGTCTTGTTTTTTTCCATGGTAGCGACCTTTTAGCATGCAATGCAAGACTGTTTCGTTTTCCTTGTGTGAACCAGTCAATAAGTGTGATATTGTACTAATGGACTGAGGCTTAGTGTTGATGCATCTTGGGATTGGTTCCTCCTGGTTATATGTATGTATATTCGAGTTATTCCTTGGAAGGGTCTCCATCATTGTACAGGTGATATCTGGTATCACCTAGAAGATATCTAGCTGAATCATAGATTAATATCTAGCTGATATGAATCTATACATTCATATCAAATAGAAGATAGTAGTTTAGCCTTTCTGATCTCCTCAACACATGAAATAGTGGTCTCTTATTTATGATTACTTGTACAGTAATATTATGTTTAGTAATACAGTGCTTCAGAGAAGACCTGATTCTGTCAGATATTTGTCAATGCTAACTAAATTTGTCGTTATGAAGCATACCTGCTTGATATTCTGGGTGTTGCATGTGGGAAATGAGGCTTTGTTGACAATAGTGCTCACTACTAGAAATGGAATTTTTCTGTTCATTCTTAAGAGTCCATGGGAGCTCTGGTAGGCATTCGGGTTTTTTGTCCTGAGGGAAAGTTGGAGACTCCGTCCCTTTTGGCAGGGTGTGTGTTTGCACCTTCAGATCCTGTGGTGCCTGTGGGCAGTTACAGACACGTTCAAACTGCTGCTGAATCTGTTAAGATGTAGTTTCATGATTGGCAGTAGCAGTCTTGAAGAAACACTAAAAGATCACAGCCTCAGTGGCCTGAGTCAGGACTCACGGAGTGCTTTGTGATCTTTTGGTTTCTACCTCTTTTTGAGTTGTTAGGTCCTAACTTATGTTCTGATCGCTAACCACTCACAGAGGCTTGCTCTGTGCAACACCTGCTGGTATAAGCCTTGTGTAAAGGAAATACAGCGTCTCCTTTGGCTGGCAGCCTGGTATCTGGGATTGCTCTAGGTGTCTATATAACCCCAAGAAGTTAGCTTGCAATAGCATTACGAGGGAACTATCAGTTTGGGCAACTACTCTTCTTTTTTCCAAACGTTTCAGGCCACTTTGAGTGTCCACCGTATAACCAGCAAACAATCAGAAGTGCTTACCATGTGAGGAATATCGAAGTCTTCAAACTCAAGCAGGTTAGTGACAAATCTTCTTTTTCTTTTTTTTTTAACGGTCGTAAATAGTTGTCATTAATTTAGAAGTAAGATGCTAAAGCTACTCTGAACAAATACACTATTGGATAGCAAATCTTACCAATATCTCTTAGCTAATCTGGATAGGCCATTTCATGCTGGATGTTATTAGAATCATAGAATCAAGTAGGTTGGAAAAGACCTTTAAGATCATCAAGCCCAATTGTTCCTCACCGCTGCCGAGTTCACCACTAAATCATGTCACTAAGGGCCTAACCTCACGGTTTTTGAACACTTCCAGGGACAGTTACTCTTCTAAAGCTTTGTGTGGCAGTGCAGATTTGATCTGAATTGGGCAGGAGTGATTTTGTTTTGGTTTTCATTAACTGGATAAAATTCACAGAATGGAAGGTACTCCAGCTATACTCTCTTCCTTTCTGTTAGCTTTAGGAGGATGGGGTGCTGCCTTGTCTAGCATGCAAGATGGTTGGTGAAGTTAACTAATCAAAATTGAACCAGCTGAATAAGCAGATAGCAGGTTTCTGTGGCTGAACTATTTTTGACTCCAGGGTGAGAAATTCAAAAGACAGATTAGCTTTAGTTTTGACCTGTTGTCTACTCCCTGCTTTGTCAGAAGGGCTACTCCCTTTGGCTTAAGTTGTGGTGTAAATACATGTATTTATAAGCATCTTGTGAATGGTTATTCAGGTTGCAGTTGCACACTTAAGTGTTCAGTAGCTACAGCGATGCTGCACATACGACAAAGGTTTGCTGTCATTCTAAGTTTCTTATTAGTTGGACTTGGGTTTAGATTAGACTTCAGAGTGTGCTTCTTTTGAGGAGGAATGGCTTAGCCATTATCCCTTTTAAACAAAGCTGTTTAAAAATTTTCAGGAGGAAGAAGATTCCTTTGATTGTGGGTAGAGAATTTGCTCTATAACTGTAATTTATAAGAGTCTCCTTCAGAGTGCCTGACACTTACTGTGATGATATGATCTCTTTTATAAGGCAGTATATATAAACCACAGCTGACTGTCTCAAGAAAGTGCAGTACACACCATGGAGACTAGAGTCCCTCGACAACTGCAAAGGCCACCTGAAAGATGGGGCTCAGTGGTGTGCTTCCTTGCTTTGAAAGTGAGGCTATTGTCACAGCTATCTCTGCATTGATCTGAGGTAGAACATGTTACACGTGTTCCATCTTGTGCTGTGTAATTTTGAAAGTTACCATATGTGTTTTATTTATATTATATGCATTTTGGCTTGACAGTTAAAGCGTCCAATTGATATATTTATGTCACATGATTGGCCAAGGAGCATCTATCACTATGGGAACAAGAAACAGCTTCTTAAAATGAAGTCTTTCTTCCGACAAGAAGTGGAGAACAACACGTTAGGAAGCCCTGCTGCCTCAGAGCTTCTGCAGCATCTGAAACCCACCTACTGGTTCTCAGCACATCTTCATGTTAAATTTGCAGCTTTTATGCAACACCAGGTAAAGGGAGTGGTGGGGGAAGTATCAGGAATGTATATGTCCCAAGCACACTTAGAATTCCAGTGCAGGTAATCATGTCCAGAAAAGCAACTTAATATTTTTGCTCAGTTATTAAAGCTCAGCTTAAGCTGCAAAACATTAAGAGGTTTTAAGACTACTAAGATATGTAAGTTAAAGAGATGTTATAAATCAGTGGTAGAAGTACCTAATCTGCTTCAGAGACAATGTGAAACAGCTAACATTACTGCACTTGAAACTGATAAAGTTTACAGAGAATCAGTCTCTTTCACACTTCACTGAGGAAGGAGACAACTATAAAACAAGGTGATAAGAGAATCAACTGAACAAGAAGAGAGCGGTTAACTGGTGATGGGAGGATACCTGTAGTAAGGCTTGGCAGGTTAAGTTGTCTGGTGGCCTGGGTAAAGCCAAAAACCACTCCCTGTAGGTTGCAGCTTCTCTTGGTTTGAGTTATTCCTGAAAGTGGTGTGACACGCTATTCCTATTTGCAGATTATTTAGCTGTAAGTCTGTAATTCTAGACCTTCTATTCTCAACAAGTCCGTTTCAAATTATGTTAAAGCTTTTCTTTTTCTTCAAGGCTATGTGTGCTTAGCTGCCTGGGTTAAGGATGGAAGTATGGCCCTTGCTTTCTGTTGCTGTCATTTGCATCTGGCTTCCTGTTAGACTTCACATAAAGTCTGTCTTTGTCCCACTATCTCTTTCTTACAATCCGATACTGATTTTCTGTTTCAGAAAGTCATCTTTTATACACAGTATGTCTTTGAATTTCTCTATATAACTTGTTTAGAATGGTCAGATTTCACAGAAATGCTAATGACTGTGTTAACACCATTTGTTTCCTAGACAAACTCCAAAGAAGAGCTACCAAAAGCAACAAAGTTTTTGGCTCTGGATAAATGCCTGCCACACAGAGACTTTCTGCAGGTGATGACTGTGCAATGGGTTATCACTTTTGAAGTGCCTCACTTGTTTGGACTGCTAAGTGGTGTTCCTGGGTACAAGCATAAGAATAGTTCTGATTAATGGAGGAATTGGAAAGAAACTAGGAATGGTCCATGTGTAGAATGCTCTTTGTATAGTATTAAAATAAGCAAACCTTGTGTCCTGTCATGCAGGTGTAGTGTTTGCTTATTCCTATCATTTCCTTCCACCTTAGAACAAACACTTAACTGGAGGAGTAGCCCTACTTTAAACTGAATTGAATCTCCTCTTATGGTGTTTGGGTTTTGTTTTTTTTTGTTTGGTCCCACTCCTCCCCAGATGTCAAACCTAAAAAGAAAGCCCATCTTGAGGCTTTTCTTCTTTCACAGTATAGTCTGGGTAAGTTAAGGCCTCTGCCTCCAGATTATGGACTCATGAATGCAGACAGGATTGAGTCCTAAGTTGAATATTGTAATTTCCTTTCAGTTTTCTTAATTCCAGCAGGAATTGCTGTGGCTTCATATGGGAATGGCTCTGCTTCTTTTTGTTTATTGCATATCTTGGCTTGGAAGGGCAGTGGACAAGTAGGATGTCTAGGTTGTGGGAATTCTTAATAAAACTGCCAAACTATGAGCAAAACAGTGTTCATGTTTGTGGCTTGTGCTGCTTGGGGTGCCATCTGTAAAATCTCATATGGATGGATGTAAAATCTTTTGTTATGAAAGGGAGCTACTGACAATGTGTTCTTCAAATGCAGTGAAGTAGCCCTTTTTTGTCAGCTTAAAGGGAAGATGGTTCATTATCTGTCCTTTGGATGTGTGGTGGTATCCATTTGCCCTGGTAGCTACCTTTGAAGATAAGAGAGAGCATGAGCTTTTGCTATGCAAAGATCACTGGGGTGGTAGTCCAGACTTAGAATCCTGTAGCAAAACTGATCTGGAGTAATACTGCCTCCAGCAGCATGGTGATTCAGCTGTATGTAGCTCTGGTTTAAAGTGTATCTCTTTTTGTTTATGTAGCAGAGTGACTACTGCTATCAATTCTTGATTATATATTTGCCTAGAAGGTGGTATGAATTTCAAGAGTAGGCAAATTCTGTTTTCCAAGTTGCATAACTGTCCAGTAGCTGTGGCAATGGGGAGGAGGATGTTCTTGCTTTAGTTGCTTGTAAGGTAAAATACAGTAATGCCTTTTTTACTATTGCTGATGTCCTTTCTTAGCCCTTTATTGCTATGAACTTTAGGACTAACTGAGAGGACTTGTTTGAGATCACTATCTCAGTGTTCTGAAACTTAATTAAAACTCTAAACCATGCAAGTAACAAACTTTAATCAGTTTCTTGTGCCAAGAGAAATAACTCACCTCGTGTGTTTTTGTGGTTTTGTAAGCAGATAATAGACATAGAACATGATCCTAGTGCAGGTGATTCGCTGGAGTATGATGCTGAGTGGATTGCAATCCTCAAGGCCACCAACAGTCTTGTTAATGTGACTCAGAGCTCGTGGAATATGCCTGAAAAGAATGGCCTCCATGGAAAGTAAGTTGCATGCAAAACAGATGAAAGGGTGATTTCTGCTGAACTGGAAGCAAACTTACCTTAGAATTGTGTTGCTTGTTCTGCAGCTTATAATGCCTGTAGGTCCTGCTAAATGCCTTGGAGAGCAAAGGGGATGTTGACAAGAGCTGTGCTCTAGAGCATATGACTTCTTTGCTGCTCTGCAGGGGCAGTTAGTTTTGTTTTGCAAACTTAGACACAACCATCTGAGGGGTGAAATATACATGGTGGCTGATCATCCTGGCAGTTACACTGTGAGACTGAAAATCAGGTTGGCTTATGGGGGGGGGCGGGTTAATGTTTCTTGGGTGCCGCAATACACAAGAGTGACATAGTACACAAATGGGGAGAGGGGAATGTTAATATTTTCCAAAGGTAATGTACTTAACTGAAAAATCATTTGAGGTATTAGGTGTCTATTGTAAGATTAATTCTTTATCCATTTTATAAAGATTCTCTTTGCAGTGGGAGCAGGAAGTAGGTTTTGATTAGCCACACTTGCTTAAGCTTTATATATTTATTTAGGTGGGACTACAGTGCATCAGAAGAAGCCATCAAAGAGGTGTTAGAAGAGATGAATCATAACCTCAAAATTCCTTGTAACTTCACATTGACAGCTGCTTGTTATGATCCCAGCAAGCCCCAAAAACACGTGGAACCGGTTCATACCATCAATCCACAGACCACTGAGTTTTGTGCCCGGTTTGGTCTCACTGATATCAATGACAGGATCCAGCAAGCTAAAGATGAGGGCTCAGTACGAGGGGAATATGAAGAAGAGGAGGAGGAAGAGGAGATGGACAGTACTGGGTCAGCAGAGGAACCCAGTGAATATAGTACAGATAATTCTGGACTTTCATCCATTAATCCAGATGAAATAATGCTGGATGAAGAAGGTGGTGATGAAGACTTGAGTACATGTTCTGTTGATCCTTCTCCTGACCATCCTCCTGACTTCTCTGCAAGTTTTTCTGACATCCGGATCATGCCAGACTCCATGGCGGTATCATCTGATGATGCTATGGACTCCACTAATGAGGAACTGGAGAAATCTGGTGTGAGTAAGCAGACGGAAGAGAAGAGCTTAAGTGAGAGACCATTAAAGCGCATTTGTGGTAGTGAAAATGGGAACACTGGCATTAAAAAAATTAAGAGAAGGAATCAAGCTATCTATGCTGCAGAGGATGAAGATAAAACAGAATAATACTTCATATGATGTATAACTAAGTTCTCACCCTGCCTTTTTATGGAAAGATGGCAAGAACTGTTGTGAACTATGCTTTTAATGTTACTTGATCTTATTGATATTACTTTCTTAAGCTGAAGAGGCTCTATGTACCTCTTACAAGGAAGAAGATTTATCTGGATTGAACATCTAAGTCAGAAACAGACTTTTCCAAGAAAGTACTTTGTCAAAGGATTTAAAGCTTATGTATAATCACCTGATTTCGCTTCAGTTCTTGGTTATTAGTGTATACTACGTATCTTTCACTGTACTGCTATACAAGAATTCATCATGCTTGTTTAACAAGAAAAGGAATCTTAAATTATAACTCAAGTCAAAGTAGGAGGATGTCTGACTTACAAGACTGAATGATTTGATTTTACTGCTTTTGTTTTATACTGAACTTTTAATACAAAGTAGCATATGCAATAACTCCATGAACTAAATTTGAAAATAGAATTCCCTTGATTACATAACAGCAATAGAAGAGTGAAGATTTTTGTTTCTGATGATATTCATGCCACAGAAAAATGTCATAAACAAAACAATGTCTGTTGTCCAGTATTGGCTTTTACTTACTGTTTGATAGAGAACAACATCTCTTAATTTGAAGCATGGCAGTTTTATGTGGACCATGGAAAAGTGCATCTCTTCTCAAAAACTCACTTGTGTGCTGTTTCCTAAAACTTGAAAACAATGTCTTGAAATTAAAATGCAAATAGTTAGGATGAAGAGCTTCCTAAACGTGGACATCATCACTATCTCGCCTTAATTAAGGCTGGTTTCAGATAAGGTGGTTGATGTTTATAATTATTAGTTGCTTGAGACAATAATGCCTACCATTGTCATTAGCCTGGGGTTTCACCTGTCACTTCTCTTCAGCAGTTTGTGACTTGCCATATTCTTACCACTGGATTTGCGATCTTCCACAATACCTTCACAAACTTCAGCTGAGGGAAGACAGGAGCTGCCAGAAGAGAGACCCTCTTGGGAGTTTTCTGTTTACTGTTTGTCCTGAATTATTAGCAAACTGATTACACTCTTTTGGCCTACAAGGCCAAGGATAACAAAACTTACGAATTAATGAAAAGACAACGTTTTCAAGCGTATGTCTTTACACTCGCTAGTCTTCCTATCAAATACTGCTGGTGTGCTGTGCTGAGGTTTTGGAGTCCAGACAGAGTGTGGCTTCCTCATGACTCTGCTGCCCTTGAGAGCACAAATAACTCCTATATGCTTTTGCTCCTCTGAGGCACAGGCACTATGGAGAGAAAAAAGCATCCTGACAGGAAAAGGGAACTGGACAGGGAGAAATGAGTGAAATGGATTGGTGTGAGTTATGTTGCAGGGAAACACTTAAAGGGCAAGACTGCCTTTCTGCATTGTGGGATTCATCTTGGTTCCTCTCCTGTCAGCAGTTCACTGTGAAAACTAAATATGTGTAAGTATTCAGGGGCTACTAAATGGCAAAATTAATGGTCTCCACCTTCAATTAACAGCTTTATACTGCTGGCTACTAACATCCTGGGCTTTCTTCCAGAGGATGTTATGTTTACTAAACGATTAGTTGAGCCCTGTTAATACTCCTCCTCTGTCTGTCTGTGCCTGCTTATCTCTCAGAACACTCACCAAAGAGAACTGTACTAAGATGTGATGGAAAAACTGGAAGTGTTTGGTGTAACCCTCAGGTTATCTAAAGCAGTTGTGAATTATTAGCGACATTACTGTAGATATTTAACTATCTAAGGGTCTTGAGTCTGCAGTGCTAAAATTTTAAGCATGCCTCATGATCTGAAGGCTATATTGGAAATAAAGTATTTTAAGCATAAAATGTGTTGCAAACTTGGAAAGTCTCACAAGATACCCGAGTATGGTATTCAGCTGTCAGATTGCCTGTGAACTGGAATAGATTTATGTTACATGTAATAGACTTTTTAGTCTTATTTGATGTTTTAAAAACAAACTTTGTGTGTTGTCCCATGTCCCGTCCCCTTTCTGATACGTGTTTCTGCTTTCCATAAAGCAGGAGACTTTGACAAGATAATGATTTTTGAATATTTAAATATATTTTAATACAGTATTTCAGCATCCATTAAGCAGAGTTCAGCTGGTAAATATAGTTAAATTGCTTTTGAGTACAAATCGTGTGTGATCTGTGTAATGTCAGTTGTGCCCTTTCTTGCAGTTGTTCACACCCTCTTTGCAGTCTGAAGTGTCCTCCCCTACTGTGCTTTTGTCCATGATGGGCTTTCCCTGTCAGCAAGATCCTTTGCTGCATGTAGAATTCAGTTGAAGCTCTGAACTTGAAGCATCTCCAGTGAATACCGAGTACTCCACAAATTACATAAAACACCAGGGAAGGCTGACAAAGTTTATTCAGCTTTTAAGACCCAGATGCTTCAGCCCTCTTTAAAAAGAAGCTTTAGAGGATTTTGAGAACTTTTCAAATTTTTGTGAGAAATGTTGTCTCTTGAAAAAATTGAGAAATTCTGTTTCTCTGTCAGGATCTCTCGTACCACAGAGTTTTTCAGCATGAGAGACTTGCACTTAGTCTAAAATTATATGTGCTATTCCATACAAAGTGCCTGAAAAAAGTGTTCACCTGTTTTATTCCAGACCAGCACAGGTGTTTTGTTCAAAGCTTCATAAATGGTTTTGGGGTTTTTTTCTTCTTAATTCAAGTATTAAAGTCAGTGTGTGACAGTATCCCAAGCTATTGGGCTCCCATTCTCCTCTGCCATTTCTAACAGCTGGCAAGCCTGTGTTTTAACTTGCAACAGCAAAAGTTAACCTGACCTTTACGCTTTTTACTGTCCTACCTGCTGCCTCCTTAATTCTGCTTTCAGGAGCAATGGTTGTGATAGAATTGGAATCCCCGTGCCACAAGAGGTGAAATACAGGGGTGCTAATACAAAAACATCAGATCTTACTGTGTGAAGTTGTGGGTGCTTGAGGCGTTTTCTACAAAAAAACCCAAACTGAAAGATCCATGAAAGCCACAAAAGCTATGACCAAACCTAAAGTTCCTAAGCCGTTTATTTTCCGTGCAGCAAGGCAGAGCCTGGGAAACAGTGTGCCATGCCAGTGTGCCATGCCAGTGCCCCAGATGAAAATTCTGCCAGAGTAACCGGTTCTCCTAACGCCCCAGCTCTGTGGATGAACACGCCCTGTTCACGCTCATTACGTCCCAGGAGCTCCACACAGAGGCAGGGCGACAGGAGGGCCTGCAGAATTCCATGATTTCCATTCCAGGTAGCTGAAGCTACACGCGGTTGATCGCGATAAAGTCGGGATGAGACCGTGTCCCGCATCATGCCCATTTCGGTGTTGCGAGAGCAGTCCCCCCTGAAACCACCTGTCTTCTTCCTCGGGGCTAGGCTCGCGTTTGCAGCGTTCTGCGCATGCGCGCAGCGCCCTCACGCGGTTCCCGCCCGGGGCGGGACGGGCCATGGCTGGCGCATGCGGGCTGGCGGTGGGCTGCCGGAAGGGAGCGTGGTGTCAGCGTCGGCCGATTCGCCGCGCGGGAGGCCGCGGAGCTCCGCCCCCCTTTTCCCCCCGCTCTCCTCCCGCCCGGCGGCGCTGTGCTGCGCTCCGCCATGAGGCCGTGCCCGCCGGCGGCGGCAGCGGCGCGCGCGCGAGCGTGAGGGCGCCGCCGCCGGAGTTGCTGCTGCGTCCGCCAAGATGGCGTGCGTGCTGGAGGCGCCGCTCCGCATGAGCGTCCTCTCGGTGAGTGCCGCGGGGCCTGCGCCGCCGCTGCGCTCCTCGGCCTGACCTTGGCCTGTGCGGATGGGGGCTGGCCTTCCGGCACCTGACCGGCCCCTTTGTACGGGAGCGGGGAGCACCGGGGATGGGCTCGGCGGGCCGTGGTGGGCCGCAAGGGTGGCGCGAGGGTCGGTAGGGCGCTGGTTGTCTTGTATGGCGTGTACCCCGTCATCCCCTGTGACAACAACTTCTTCACAGAAGATTTCTCTTCAGAACGGCATTCTCTTTTTCAGAGGAGTCCGTTCCTGTTCTTGTTAAAGGTGCCGGGTCTTCTGAACGTGTTTTACCTCATGACACGACTTAGGCTCTTCAGTTGCTCTCCTGTCAATGTTTTTGCCAGTCTCTCCTCCAGCCCCCCGAAACTCCGATTCAGCAAAAAGAGGCTTCGCTGACATTGTTTTGCGCTGAAACAGCGCGGCTGCGGCAGCGCAGAGCAGAGCAGGGTCTCTCCCCAAGCGCGGCGGGCTGGCGGAGCATGTGGGTGGTGTTTTGGTGGCTAAACGCTAATCCTGTCGTAGGAGCTACTGGAGATCTCCCTGCACGGCCTGTTCCGAAGGGAGGAGGCTGATGGGTTGCATCTGTGGGCAGGGCGCTGGTGCGGCAGGAGGGGGTCTGACAACTACCGCTAGCTTCCTTGGGGAGGCTGAGTAAGTAGAACTGACGGTGCTGGTAGCCCAGTCCTGCTGCTCATCAGTGTTCTGCTACCTGGGAGTAACAGTGCAAAAGATGTAGTGTAGATGCTGCTTAAAAGAACTGAATTTGGGGGCTGTTTCTTCCCTTATTATTTCTTAGTGGTTATTAGAACTATGAAACTGATGATGTTGATAGGTTGTTTTGGGGGACTACTTGAAAAACTTGTTTGCCTGGATACGAAAGCTCTTCTACATATTGCAAACATAATAGTTGATAGGGTGAAAGCTAGCATATTTTAGAAACAGAAAACAGTGGGATCTCTGAAGTCTAGAAGACTTTTGTGTATAAATACATAGATCAGGTAGATCAAAGTCTACTGCTTTTCTCAGAAAATATTTTCATTACACAGTGAATATGAAGCTGTAGCATTCATTTTGCATAATTTAATAGTGTTCTTGGAGTCAGAGAAGCATTGCTACCTCTAGATGATTCTCCTCTTTGAGACTACAGGCAAGACGCTGATGGTGCTTCTGACATCTGGGTGGGGAAGCAGGAGCAGATTCAGCTTGAGAGTAGATACTTGCAAAAGCAAGGAAGAGTTGTCAATTCCCTTATAGCTTCTTTCAGGGAAAAATCAGAAGGAAAAAAATATATGAAAAGCCTAATGGAAAGTTGAGCTGGCAAAAAGAAAGAAAAAACCAAGACATAATGGAAAAGCACCCTGGCACATGTTCCTGAGAACCTGGAGGGAAAATTCCCTTCCCCTTTCCCACCCTTATTTTTTGGAATGCTTGTCATCTGCAACTTTGGATCTTCTCAAAGGGAGTAACAATTCATTGGTGCATAAATGTTTAGCTTACAAGCATGGTCCTGTTGCTGAGAGGAGAATTTACTTTGTTTTACAAAGTAGCTGTGGGAATGTTATGGAGAATGTTTTGCTGCTGTCCCTGTTGGAGCTGTGTGGGACGCTGTCTCTGAGTTGTGTAGATACGTCATGTTAAAGTAAGGTACAGAAAAATGCCTTCATACAGTCTTCCTTATTTTCAGGAGCTTGTTTGTGGGTCTGCTTCTTGAGCAGCATTAACTACTCTTAAAGCTTTCTTTCAGGAATTCGTGTTTTTTCTATATAGTAATTAAACATAATAAATTTGGAATTTAATGTAACTGAAGTAGATGCTTTTTGCATGCCCTGTTCATAACTGACAGTGTTAACTTACTTTGAATCATAACATGTTATGTATATTACGTACATCGTCTTCTTTAAATCACACTTGAACACAGGTGTGAGTGTTGCCCAGCAGTAGCATACTACACAGTTAAATATGATTCTGTGGTTTTGCTGCTATCTTGCCTGAGAGATTGTGTAAACCTGCTGCTGCGTTAGCCATTTCTGGTTGTCTGCCATTATATCATATAATCTCAGACTTGTTTGGGTTGGAAGGGGCCTTAAAGTTCATAATTTCAAACCTCTGCCATGGGCAGGGACATCTTCCTCTAGACCAGGTTGCTCCAAGATTATCCAACCTGGCCTTGAACACTGCCAGGGACTGGGGAAGCCACAGCTTCTCTGGGCAGTCTGAGTCAGTGCCTCAGCACCCTCAAAAGGAAGGAAGAACCTCTTCCTAATATCTAATCTAATTAATTGGTATGAAATATTTAAAGCATTACTTTTTTTTTCCTGTCTCCACAGGAGGTAACAGCAAGTAGCCGCCACTATGTTGATAGATTATTCGACCTTGATCCTCAGAAAGTCCTGCAAGGTGTCATGTAAGTCATCTGAAACACACTTGGGCTGTTGGTTGTGCATAGGCTAGGCTTAGTTGAATTCCACTAGAATTTTATGTCAAGGGCTAGAAGTTCTTCCTATCTTTTTTTTTGAGAAATCTTGTTGGAAAAGTTTTAATGCAAAAGATACAGCATTGTTGCAGCAGACTGTCACTCTGAATTGCATATGGTTCATAAGAGCCTTCCAGTTGCCAGAAATGAGGTTAAATGTTCTGTGGACATTCAGAATTTTATTTGGGTACATTTCTTCCTTTTGGTCACCCATTATTCTTCTTCCAGGTCTATTGAAATTCTTATTCCACTGCCAAGCCAGTGTACCTGCCTCTTATTCTTTCCCCTGCTGCTGTGCCTGAATGTTGGCTTTTCTTTTCTTTTTCTTTAATGCATGGCCTCTGTCTTACTGATGGGAACTGCAGGCTGAAAGAAAATGCTTCCACAGAAATTAATTTGGATGCAAATTATATTTCAGTACTCTGCTATGTGCCAGTAATAAGGGGTAATCACTGAAGGAGTGAGTAGAAGTCTTGCCCTGTTGAATAGGTAGTAGAACTGGTGCAAAGATCTAGTTGTTTTCCAGCTGTCCTTGGGCTATAAGCTTTTTATTGTAACCACACACAATGTGGCAAACAAGTTCTTGCCCAGGACAGTCTT